AACATTAGTAACGTTGCAATAAAAAAACTCGCTCCCAAACATAAACCCGAAAACATAACACTCATTTTACGTTCAGTCGGATAATAATACCGCATCCAAGGTCATTCTTGGTTAATACTTCAAGTGTTCATTACAGATATCTCGTAGGAAAATTGCTTTCTTACTCGCTCTCTTCATTTCTTGTGTAAATTTTATTTTTTAACCGTTTACATTCTTTTCGTCGTTTATCTAGCTGTTTATTCTTTTAAAAGCCTTCACCTACTAATAATTGTTTGGTTAATATAAGGTTGGCCTGGACTGGTTGGAGAGGTTCTTTAATAAAATACTGGATAGATATCAACGTGTAACGTTAGTAGTATTTGACTTGATATTATGATGCAAATATCTCTATTTTCATTTGGAAATTTACGGAAGTTTATGCGTGTTAATAAATTATTAATTTTTAAAAATAGAAGCTATGAAAGAGAATTTATATCACAGAAGTTTTTTTTCTACTAGTGACATTAGCTTTATGTAAATATTTCGCATTTCATATTGTCACCTTAATAATCATTTCTTGGACCCGATTTCAATTAGGCATGTATTTAACTGACAACCAGACAAACACCAAAACTTATTATAGGTAAACCATGTTGCAAGTACATATCTAAGATCAAGAGTTGTTTTTACAAGTTTTAATTTAACTTTCAATATATTTCATGCATGAACATTTTGTGAAATGTGAAATCTTGCTAGTAAATTTTGAACCAGACCCAACTGCTTGAACTGAAATATTTCACGCACATGTTTCATGATCTGAAATGCAAACCTTACTCTAAATACATAAGAAAATCCTTAAAGAGTTTTGTTTTGGGGGTTTTTAAGTATGAGCATTGAGAAAAATTGGTGCAAATAAAAGCAGTATACAATTTTCAAGGTCATTGAACCTTAAACGTCACAAGGTTGAGGTGTAAGTCTCTTGGCACATCAAAACGCTTGTCACATACACTATTCATTCAACACATTCATCACTCCTTTGACTAGCACCCTTTCACGTCGCGGAGTAACAACAAAATCTAAATGGAGTGCTCATAATACTAGCCTTGAATACTGTGACGTCACAAATGTAGGGCTGTCAAATAGATTGTTGTCGATATTTTTTTTTTTAAATAATTCATGTTTTTGAATTCGATTTATAAAAAAGTAACTACCTAAATGCGTTGATGTACTGCGACGGGTTTTTTTAGCGGTCAACTGTTAAGTGATGAAGATATTTTTTTGTTATCTAGCGTTGATTTTCTCTCGTGTTGTAAGTACGGTTACAAACAGCACTATTATCAGCTTTATTCTAATAACGTTTATATATTCTTAGTTCACATACACATCACACCCATTCTGGGTCCGAACAATCATCTGTGGACAAAGAGCTCCGAGTGGGAATCAAATGCGTCACACGTTGTGCAGCAATCAGTTGCCCAGTTACGTAATTGGACTGCCAATAATGATAAGATACGTACGAGTTATTAGATTTAAAGTTCAAGTTAATTTTTCATATGAAAATTATTTTGGAGTGTGTATTATTAAATTTATATATTATTTTCTTGCAATGTCCTTGTCGATTACCAAATTAAGAAATAAACAAAAACACAAAAATACTAGATACTAGTAGTTTTTGCCCGCGACTTCGTTCGCGTGGAATAGTGACTTCCTGCAGATTTTTGGTATAAAAACTATCCTATGTCTGTACCAAATTTTACAGAAATCGGTTCAGTAGTTTAGGCATGAAGAAAAGACAGACAGACAGACAGAGTTACTTTCGCATTTATAATATTAGTTTGGATGGATGATTTATTTCCAATGTAACACGTGTCTAAATTTTAATAATAACTATCGTGAGACATACTAAATTAACTAAAAATCGCGGGTTACTCACGTGTATATATATGAGCTGCGTGCGCGACGTCGCCGCGTCCGCGCACGCTGCTCATGAGAAAGAACCCCTCTGTGGTTCGAAACTAGTAGAGCTTTTCACAATATATACACGTGAGTAACCCGCAATTTTTAGTTAATTCGTGTCTAAATTGTTAGGCATAAACAGATTTTTTTATGTTGTCAATCATTTTGCAATAACAGTACAGGAAATATCTTCTGTTTCCTCCATTGACTGTTTACTCTGCAGCAAAGATCCCATTCCTAACTGTCCGAACTAACGTAGCGTGGAAATGTGGCTGTCAGTTTGTTTCAACGTTGTTACGTTAAAATTGTGTGCTGTGGAGTATAAGATTCGTTTTGCTACTGATATTAGTTCCTAACTTGTCTAGTTTTGTACCATCCAGTTTCAAACTATTCAAAAAGTAAGCGCGTTTTCGTGGTTCTTTGGAGAAACAACTTGAGATTCTTGCTTTTTTTTAAAAAATTTTGGTGCCGATATACACTATTATCATGGTTTATATGTTTTGTATACTTATTATTTTCTAGTTTAGAACCTTTTTAATGGTTATCAAACAACCATCAGAAACCAGAAATCAGAAATAATTTATTTTTAAAATCTATGTAACAAATATTTTGTTTCGTGACTTGGGATAGTCCCGGTATGTTTTTTTTACTAATATATGTATATGTAGTACATAAACTTGCTTTCTTCACTATATTGTAAATAATGTAAGTGGCAAAACATTTGATAGTACAACTACACCTCTACTTACCTCTTGAACGTATAAAGACTTTCTGAATAAAGCCGAAAGTTTCGTCCATCCAAAAACTGTAGACCAAGAGAAAATATAAACATTTTGTCAGTACGGTACGCGTTACGCCTTCCAATAGCCCTATTATCGTTTTGACCTCCAACAAAAAGCAACTACACCACTTTTAGTCCCTCGACACCTGTAGGCCTGACATTGGAAGCCTAAAAATTTATAAAATCGTTAACACTCTACTGTTAAACACGTTAACAAAGCCGCTTAAATTACGCATTTTTACGTGAAACTTTTAATGGAATAACATAGTAGTGGCTCGGGAGGGTTACAAAGTTTTATTACGCACTGCCCTCAAGTAAATTGTTTGATTACTTGTTTCAGGAACTCGAAGATAGTTGCTTTTGCTAAACAGTGTCACGTGTGGAGTGTGTGTGATATGTGATGTGCGTCTTCTGAACAATTAGTGTGGTGCGAATTATCTGGAATCATCGCCTCTTTATGATGACCTTGCTTCGGCACGAATGGGTCGGCTCGATCGGAGTGATACCACGGCCTCACAAAAAACCAGCGTGAAACAACCACAGCGTTGTGTTTCACCGTGTGAGTGAGGTTACCAGAGGGCATTTCTGCAACCCGCAACATCGAAGGAGTTGCAAGTGCGTGGGGATGGGAATAGGGAAGGATTGGACTCCCATAACCTAATACACACAACAAACCATGCGTGATCGTTGCACGTATATTCTGTGAGGCCTCCAAATCACGGTCAAGTTGGCCTATTACGTGACAAAGTATGGCTTTCTCACATAACTTTTTTTAAAATAACCTAAAAAGAACTTAAGATTTGGTCAATCAAAAAACAAATACACGAAAATAAATGTAATGTTCCAAATATAAATGACAAATTACAAAATCAACAATTTCAGTATACAACCAACTCCTTAGGGTCCGAAACCATAATTCCATATTAACTTTTAAATAGGTCTGGGAATATAAATTTATGGGAAACTCAACACTTCTTTAATAATAATGAGAGTTTCAATGATGCGGGTCGTAAAACAGACGTTAACGAAAATTTCGCAACTGACCAAAATCAGCTCGTGGTGTCTCTCATAACTCCATGGAAATGGATGGTGGTCTCGAACATGGATAACAATGAACACTGGAAAGGATCATCACAAAATTAGTTCAGTCACACATTTGACTGATAGACGTATTTATTTGATTTTTTTATGGAATAGGAGGCACGCTTGCCTTTGGAGAGCAGTTCATCATCTGATGGTTCGGATCTGCACCGCCCATGGACACCTGCAACACCAGAGGGCTAACAGAGGCGTCTCCGGTCTTTTAAGAATAAGTACGCTTGGTTGTTATACGTCTAAATGTGCATTTAGTTTGAACTATGATGAAGAAATGGAAAACTAGGAGGATATATTAAAGGAATAATATGACAGTTGTCTACATCTCCTATGCGGATAGCTAGACTTCCTGGTATTGGAAAAAGACAATCAGAATGTTAAGAAAAACAACAAATTTTTCCTACAACGGCTCTTTCTTTTGCATCGAAAGTACATTTGACACGGAGAGCAGATAACCGACTGCCGTGCAACGTGTAAGTTCTTTTCCGGATTTATGTGATCCATAAACAGTTTTTTCTTTGTCAAGATGTCATGTTGTGAAGATGTCGTTAGTAGACTATTCCACAATGGGAGAAAGTAAAAAGTAATTTTCCTATAACAAACTTTTTTCTGTCACGACACGTGAGAAAATACTTACATGTGGCATGTTTGTTAAAAAAATAAACTACAATAAACCACTGTCCATAGGTACCACCCAGTGGTGCAAATGCGACAAGAAGCCATTTCCATCGGAATTAAATCCATATTTTGATCAGCCTAATGAACTTTTTAAATTAAAAAAGGTCGTACCTAACATATTATACAGTGACACGCGCCTCACCTCAGAGACAGTAATTTAAGTCCCGTTTTGTCAACCCTATGCGGTTCATTTGGGCCTACTTTTTGCGGTACGTCCAGCCCTTCAGCTTAATTAGGGTTGAGTTTGGGACTTTTTTGATGATACCTCATTGTTAACATGAAAGATAATTGTCGAGGTTTTTAAGGAGGTGATTTTAAAAACGATATAGGATTTCAAACCAATAAATATATATTATAAAATATATTAGGATAGCAATATCATAATATAAACAGGTTTAATAACACTCTTTCTTTAAAAAACTATCATGAAATACCTAAATATTTATTAAATCAAAAATTAACATTATTTGCAACGCTTATCACAGTGGGCGTTTTCGTATAATATGTCCAAATGGCTGTTACTGAACGCAGTGTCGTAGAAACCATGGCGAAGTTCACTTATATTTTAATACTACTTTATCTTCTGAAAACTAGTTTCGCCAAAGACTGTGCCGATAATAAAAAAACACCAGAATATTTCACGTGGTTGAAAGAACTTTTGAAAGATATACTGTCTTGCAGTACAAGAACGCCTCCACCAGGAAACACAACCATTGATATCGTTATGAATGTGGAAAGCTACAGTTTTCAAACTGATAAAGAAGTGTTCACAGCTCAAACGGCTTTAAATATAAACTGGGTAGACGAACGACTAAAGTGGGATCCAGACAAATACCACGGTATCAAAGAAATAGAAGCAGACCCATTCTTAGCATGGCATCCAGAGATTGAACTGATCAATGTGGCAGATTACTTTAACTCTGAAATGACAACGTTATTCTTTTGTTCTATCCACAATACGGGACTTATTACCTGTCGGCACAAAGTGCTCCATGAAACATGGTGTGGCGTCAAACTGACCAACTGGCCTTACGACGTTCAAGAATGCAGTTTGGAATTTGGCCATGAGTATATGAGTAAAGAAAATTATACATATAAACTTAGAGCATCTATATCGGAAGAATACTCAGCTGGATGGCACGTTTCTGAATTGAAACAAGAGGACAATGCTGGTGGCAGACCAGGAGTAGCAGTGACCTTTGTTTTGGTACGGGAAGCGGCTGGCTTGTCTGCAATCTTTATGTACCCGGCCTTAGTGTTAACAGTGCTTAATGTTTTATCACTATTCTTAGATGTGAGACGTGATGTAAGACTGGCAGTTAGTTGCTTCACATTATTTGGTCATTATTTTTTCTTGAATCAATTAGACACTGAAATGCCCAAAGGCAATGCATTTACTCCTACCATTTTGTTGTACTACCGCGATTCTGTTATTTTGACCATTATTATAATTCTTTTGACATTCATTCTCAACAAAGTTTGCAGTGCAACCTCGAAGCCACATGACTATATCAAGCTTGTCAATGATTTTGTGTGTGATAATAAGTATTCTAGCTATTTCGTCTTTCCTAAATGGGAGTCTGATGACGTCACTGTTGATTCCAAATCGTCTAATGAAGATTATGTTATATTTGCAAACGTTGTGAATAGTGTTTCTATGTTTTTGATTGTGTTTGCTTATTTTGGTTTATATATTAGTAAGATACCGAAATCTTTTTAACGATTAACGTAAGTAACATAATTTGAAAAGCATTTTAATTTCAATTTTTGCAATACCAGCACAATGTCATATTCTATTTTTATATGTAGAAAAATTATAGTTTTTATTAAAAGAATATAAAATGTCGATAATTCTGGTGTTCTGTTAGCAACGTAACAAAAGAAATTAATAATAACGTAACACAACAAAACTTAACCGAACAGAACTAGGTTAAATGTTAGTGGACTACACTGAATTGTAAAAATGTTATAATGTAGGAGAACCTTATATGGGTTTTTGATGAGGGGAAAATCATTAAATGACATTTCAGAGTAAGGGAGATCCCAAGAGCCAGACTCTTACTGACTAAAAACCCCCCTGTTTCTTCTCCTGCATTAGGTCGAGGCCGCAGTGCCTTACTGCGCTTACATCGCAACCCCGGTTGAACATCAGTCCTGTAGGGCCCAGTTTGTGGTAGTCTATCGGCTTTTTGAGGCGAGCGCGGAACGCTACGCGCCGTTTGCTCGCTTCTGGTTCTGATTGGGCGGCGAGCTACCTTTACTCGCAGATGTGTACTTGCGTGCATAATTCCTATGAGACGCTGGCGTCCTAGATTCTGGGTCACCACGACACTAAGAAAACCTCTTGCGATCTCATATGTTATTTTGGTCACAAAATACTGCTTTGTATTAGATTACTACTTCAGAATTTTGGGTGTATACAGGAATATCTGGCGTGTGATATTCCACTAATGTCGTAATTAATCAGCGCAAGTGTGAACGTCTTGTCTCGTGATTGCTTGTGTAACGGTACGCACTTTGATTTTAACGATAATTGATGGCCTCGCGAATTAATGGGTAGGTATCATAGAACATTCTGGGTATACGAAAATGCCATATATTATGATGATAGTAGATTCTATTCACTGATTTAATTTGAAATAGTATTACAATATTTCTGTGCTTACAACTATGAACAATTTTGGTACTCGTAACTCGAACGACACGACGACAACCAAATCAACAAAAAAAGTCTTACTTAATCAAAATTAAAATCACTTCTATTTGTTAACACCACCATCAGCCTGATTCTGTCCACTGATGCACATATCCCACGCCACTGAGCTCGATGGTCAGCTCTTCTGATCCAACCACTGCCAGCCACCCTGCGGATGTCGAGAGTCTCCCCACCTGGAGGGCGCCCTACACGTCTACCTTATCGGTCATCGGCTCTACGACAATGTGACCTGCCCACTGTCACTTAAGCTTGTTAATTCTTTGGGCTATGTCAACAACCTTAGTTTTTTTTAACACAATAACATTTAATGTTTATCCATGAAAGCCTATAAACATATTAGGCATTTTGTTCACAATTACCATTTATTTAGTAAAACATGTTTAGTGTAAGTTTGGTGAATTTCATGTAACTTACAAATATCTAATAATTTAAATACGATTAAGGTAATTAAAAAATAACCTATTAAACAGATCAGTAATAACAATAAATTACAACTTTTCCTAACAGTTTCATAATAATTCCCAACACTAAAATTGCGTAACAGATGTTTTCTTTTAAATTTTACCCAAGCGATAAGTTACAAAAAAACTGAAGATAAAATGAAACCAAATATTTTTCGAAATTTATATCTAAGAAAAAAATCGAGCACACAGAAAAATATATAGTTAAAAAGTCATTTAGTTAGATTACCTTTGACGCTATGTGCCTTTTACCTAAGCTTAACGATTCCCACAGGAGAAAATACATTTATCCTTATTCTAGGCTACCCACGCGAAATAAAATTCTCCAACCGAACTAACATTATAAAACATCACTTCGATGACAAATTAAATTATTTAAAAAAGGAATAAAAGTGTTTTGTTTATTCTGTGGTTGCTAGTACTACTTATTATACTTATTATACTTTATTGCACACACATACATTTATAAAAAAAAATACAATTAAAAAAAAATATGTACAAAGGCGAGCTTAACCCAGAGTTGGGTTCTCTAACAGCAAACCTTAGAGCGATAGAGAGATTGGATATGGAAGGGTAAAGTCATAAGTGCGCAACAACACATTACTGAGAAAATATAAACACTATAACAATATATAAACACAATAAATATATATAATATAATAAAGCTACACAATATATAAACATAATACATAAAAATACTTCTAAGACAGACGTATCATTGAGGGTGGAAGATTCTTTAAAAAAATATTATACATATATATTGTGATAGCACATGTCATAATAGCATATGGTTTGTGAACAGCTGTTCAATGGAACGACTGGTGGTGCAAGGGAGGATAGAGGGTCAGCGTCTTCGTGGTCGGTCACTAATTAAATGGATCGACCTCATTAAAATATTGACATCCAGCTCAATAGTAGAGTGCGCGAGGAATGCCACTAACAGTCATAAATGGAGTCAAATCGCAAAGGCAGCCACCAAGGTCATACGATGATCACGACCACACTGACAAGAGTGTACGATTAAAACAAAAATCGTGCCTACTTCTTCGAAGTAAAAAATACGTAGTGAAAACGAAGTTCTGGGCGTACCGCGGCTTCGGCAAAAAAACAGGAGAAGGAACGGGAGAAAGGGAGGGTTTTTAGTCAGTAAGAATCTGACAGTCCCTCCCGCCCAGTCTAGGCGGGAGAAGTCATTTGAGGATTTTCCCCTCACAAAAAGTGATGCAAGTCACACCTTTTGCTGTACTTAGAGAAAAGAACCAGTGCCAGTGTTACAAAAGTATTGTATTGACCAATATTGACCTATACCTACTAACACAATCAACTTAAGTACATTTAAAACAAAATAATGGCGGCGTAAAAGTGTTTTTTCTCTTTGTTTACTTCAGTTCAATTCTCTAAACACTACTAAAACTAACACCGTTTTAAAAAATACATCAAAATGATTATAACTAAATAACATTTCTTTTTACAACACTATTAATCTCTGCCGGTCCCACAAGGGGTATGGCGTGAAATTAATTACTGAACTCACTACATTTCGTGTTTGTTTACTATGTTTTTAATTTAAAAGTTAATCACCAGTGTCCCAGGGGATTTCTTTGAAACTGTGAGTGGAAGTGTTAATTATAATGATGGTGTTGTTTGACACAAAATGTAACATTACATTACGTTAGGTGCCTACTCCTATTAATCCCCAACTGTAACATAATGTGCACTTAATTGTGGGAAATATTTAATACTATTTATATGTCTTAACATAAACTACGAAATCGGTACTTTTTAAGAAGTGAGTTTAGAAGTGTTATTTCTTTGTACTTTTATTATTCCTCAAACATATGTGTGCATTTCATCATCTGCCCATAAGTGCCCACTGCTGAGCAAAGCCCTCTTCTCACGTCAAGGTTTTGAGCATTAATCACCACGCTAGCTCAACGCGGGTTGGCGATTTCAATTGTGGGAAATTTAAAATTATTAAATACTCTTATTTATAGGTCTTTAACATAAACTAGAAATTGCTGCTCCTTAAAACGTATTTGAATTGACTTGAAATTGATAGCAAGTTCAATTAAAATTTATATTAAACTAGTGGCACGTTCCTGTTTTCCAAGGTGCATTTCCCTGATCATGATAAACACAACAAAAATAAATATCCGCATAGCTAGTCCAGGCTTTGCGCTTTCCAACACATTTTACGATTAATTTATATGTCTAATTTTGAAAAAAATTACTTATATACATTTTTTTAATTTAAAGAGAAAGTGTTATTCCTTTAATATAAAGTTTATTTGAACTTACAATTCTAATAAGACGCATAAAAATTGTAATTTCGTAGGCCACGGTTCGGCACGAATGGACTGACTAAACTAGAGTGATGGGGTACTCCGGTTGAGTTGAGAGCCTCATAGAAATCTCTATCTATCTCTCCCCCTTGCGCAATCCTCAAATCCCTCATACTGAAAAGACCAGCGCACTAGTGGATGTTAACATTCCCCAGGTGATGCCGATTGCTTACAAATTCAAAAGCTTGTACCAAAAAAAAATTCTCTCAGAATCATATAAATGATTCCGTGTTATATTTAGATAGTGGACATCTTCTTCCCAAAAGCAAAAAGTCTTTGTGTATTTTAAAAATGACAATTATAATTTTGAAATGTAAAGCCACTTTGCCACTAATAATAACACACACAGAAACGACATAATAAACATTGCTCCCAAACCAAACAAATACAGAAATTAATTAAAATTAAACCATTACGACGTCACAGGAAACCATGAAAGCAAAAATAACAAAGGCAACACCTTTCAAGATCCCCAAACACGGAAGGGTAGAAAGACGTTTGACGGACGAAAAAATCAAAATGGCCGCCGTATTAGATGTCATTAATATTCATGTAAAAGTTGACGGGATGTCAAATATTCTATGATTAACGAGCGCGTATTGTTTGTTGACCTTATTGTCCTACAATCACAAAGGTTTACTAAAATCGCGGACAAGGGAATTTTTCGGTGGTTTTTTTTTTTTTAATATCTCCCTTGAAATCCGTCGCGTGTCACTTTCGTGTTGGCAGCAAAATGGAAAAGATATAAGCAAATATTTGTGCTCATTTTTCAGGGAATGGCCACTAAAAGGTATGTCGCGTTTTGTTTTTATTAACCCTGATCAAGCTACTGCTCAATGATACTTGATGGTACTGTGACTTGGCTGATTGCCGCACGGAACAAGTCTTTTAGTCACATATTGTCGTTTGGGTGTGATGTGTATGTAAAATTGTGTGTTTGTTACGCACACACGACACAGGAACAAATGCTAAGGATATCTCTACAAAAATGTTTCTGAAAAAAAATCTGCTGGGGTATCCAAAAATAACGTTACCTTCAGTAATCGTTTTACTTTTAAGCTTAATTTTAGTAATTTTCTTACTTATTAAGACCAATAAGTATTTAACTTCACATAGAATATATGACGTGGTAAATTAGAAACCTTAAATAAAAATCAAGACAAAGAACCATCGTGGTCATTTAAAAAAAGTAGAATTATATTTGACTAGTTCGCTGTCATAGCCTTATTAAGAAATATTATGTTTTCAAAAATAATACGATGAATCCCTACATGCCAAAATATAGATCCATATCTACAATTAATTTGAGTGTAAGTGGCTACAGTTATTTTGGTTTTGGCAAACAACAGCAATGTTATCTGAAACATTAAAAACAGATGGTGATTATGACCGTTTCAATGTCGCATGTTTCATGGCCCAGCACAGTTATACCCACGATAAAAACGATCTTGATGTCACAAATAATCTACAACACAAATGCGAAATCGCTCCTTATCGGCTTCAGTATAATTTATAACGTTACTAGCGACCCTATGAGTTTTAAATGTAGGAGAGCCAAGCTTCGGCACGAATAGGTCGGACCGGAGTGATACCGCGGCCTCACAGAAAACAGGCGTGAAACCCTTTCCCTAAAAGCCGGTTGCTTATCATCAGGTAATTCGACTGCTCGTTTGACGACCTATCCCATATTTCTCTTCTAATTAACGGATGTTATTTTTACATATAAACGTTCCTCTTCAATCACTCTATCTATTAAAAAACAGCATCTAAACCCGTAACTTAGTTTCCAAATTTAAGAAAACATAAAGATATGGTTCAGAAAAAGCACCTTTGCTTCAGGCTAAGAACTCACGGAGCGATTTTCGCCCGCGTCCGCTGCGGTTGCGGGCCCGCAGCTTCTGTAGAATTCAAATATTTATATAAAAAATTGAAGCACATTTCACGACGCGTTTTACGCCCGCGGTGCACGCGGTTGTATGCGGCTCCCGCTGTACCGGCGGGCAACTAGTAGAATCGCGCGGGCTGCGGTTACCCGCAGCCTCGGCAGGTGGCACCCGCGCGCTTTGCGATCGGTTGGCGAGCGACCGCGGGGGCCGGCGAGTCTTCTGTGAAGTAAATATAACGCAACGGCTCGTTTCTGGTGTGTGTCCATGGCGGTCTGGACCTCAACTGATCATTAACTGCCCGTCTTGCAATCTTGCGATCATCGCCCGCCACGTTTGCGGGCGATGATCGCAACCGCGGCGGCTGTGTAACCGCGCAAATAACCGGTCTCGTGAGTTTGGAAATAAAACCGCAGTTCCGCTACCGCGGCGGGCACGGTTCAAAATCGCTCCGTGAGTTCTTAGCCGCGGTCCGCGCGATTCTACTAGTTGCCCGCCGGTACAGCGGGAGCCGCATACAACCGCGTACACCGCGGGCGTAAAACGCGTCGTGAAATATGCTTTAATTTTTTATATGAATATTTGAATTCTACAAAAGCTGCGGGCCCGCAACCGCAGCGGACGCGGGTGAAAATCGCTCCGTGAGTTCTTAGCCTAAAAACTGTAAAGTTTATTTGATGTTTTGGTCGACTCTGTTTCGTCAGTTCATTGAACAAATGAGATTAAGGCTAAGAACTCACGGAGCGATTTTGAACCGTGCCCGCCGCGGTAGCAGAACTGCGGTTTTATTTCCAAACTCACGAGACCGGTTATTTGCGCGGTTAAACAGCCGCCGCGGTTGCGATCATCGCCCGCCACATTTGCGGGCGATGATCGCAAGATTGCAAGACGGGCGGTTAACGATCAGTTGAGGTCCAGACCGCCATGGACACACACCAGAAATGAGCCGTTGCGTTATATTTACTTCACAGAAGATCCGCCGGCCCCCGCGGTCGCTCGCCAACCGATCGCAAAGCGCGCGGGTGCCACCCGCCGAGGCTGCGGGTAACCGCGGCCCGCGCGATTCTACTAGTTGCCCGCCGGTACAGCGGGAGCCGCATACAACCGCGTACACCGCGGGCGTAAAACGCGTCGTGAAATGTGCTTTAATTTTTTATATAAATATTTGAATTCTACAGAAGCTGCGGGCCCGCAACCGCAGCGGACGCGGGCGAAAATCGCTCCGTGAGTTCTTAGCCTAAACCGGGAAGGCTTTTGACATCAATTTATTTCATTTTAGCTTCACTTAATGTTTGTCACTAAAGGACAGAACATGCACATCTTTTTGTTTGATCCTAAACTGTCCCGGGTCTATATCGGTGTTGTGTGTTTGTAAATTTGTATGTTTGTAACCAAAACGCCCCCATAACACAGGAGAAAATCCTATCGTGGGGCAACGTTTATAATCCATTTTAAGAGAATAAATGACGTTTTTTGTATTTTGTTTGGGGGTAAATCCTTCCCTTCCTCTCCCTCATTCCCAATCCTCAAATACTTCAGCTCCAAAATACAGCAACGCACTCGTTACTCCTCTGGTGTTTTGTGAGTGGTATTGAATTAAGTTTATTTTTTAAATTGGTTTATTTACTTACAACCAATGCATGTTACAT